CACTCTGCATATTTGGGGCTTTATAAATAACTATCAATAAAGTCCAGCCTGAGTCATTACTATCCTGTTAAATTCTACTTATGCATTGCTTCCCCAATCAACAGCAAATATGCGCACAGGGATTACAAAGTCACTGAAATTTTTTAAAATAAAGTTAAGATGCAAATCTTCTGATGGAGAGAGTAACATGGCATCTTCCAGGTCTAAATAGCTAAACTTTAGCTATTTCTACCAGTCGAAGAAAGTACTTAGATACACAATGGGCAGAAGACACAGCCTTCAGGTTTTGGTGTACAATACTCTAGGTATGTGGTTCTCAAACGTTAGAGTGCAGAAGAGTCACACAGAGGACCCCATCCCAGAGTTTCTGATTCAGTCAGTCTGTGGTGGGATTGGCATTTTAACAAGTTCCCCAGAGCTGCTTCTCAGGGAACCAAATTTCAAGGACTACTGCTCTAGGTTAAGAATTTGCCATTAGAAAATACGATATTTCCTTATAAATGAGCTTTAGATTTTATTGAGTTCCAGAACATAGTTATGGTATTCAAATATTTTAATCAGTTAATCGAATTTAAAAATTGCTAATGCTATATAAATAATGCAAAACCAAAAGCTGCATTTTAAGTTAATCTAGGTACCGGGCCACAATTTGGTGCAACAATAAACTTCGTCTGTCAAATATCTAAGCAGATTGCTTAAAAAAAGTTTTTTAATATCATACCATAGATCCAGGCACACGTTTTCAACCACCATTTCTTTTGCCGTTTTATTGGGCCCACATGAAAATTCTTAAAATGAAATATGGTCATATTAAAATAAAAATGGATGGCAATATCTTGGTACTGTATCCGCTGCAGTTTAGACTGATCATTTTTACGCTTTGTTATATTTAGTTTAAGCTACATGTTGAAGTATGTTTCTTTTGTAGTGTTTTTCATCAATCTCCCCATTTTTTCACACTGCTTATCTCATCCCAGACTTCGTATTTTATTGTTAACTGATATAGTGAAGATACTATTGCTGATAGGAGCATATGTTCTCAATATAAAGCGAACAGATTTTGTCACTATTCAGTAGGGAAATCATGAAAAAGCTGTCAGTCATACAATAAGAGAGATTACATTATCAAAGCGATATACCTGTGACATACAGTCCAAAACCAATCTCAAAAGAGACCAATTAACAGATAGCCCGGTTTGTACTCTGACTACCTTGGAAATCATCCCATTCCTGCACGAATAAGAAATTGGTGATTTAATAGGTTTTTCAGTTTTGTAATAACTCTTATCTATTCGCTGTCAACAAAAAATATATATGAAAATCTTTTAAATCAACTAAGCTGAAAGTAATTCTACTCTGTTATTTACTGAAAGTCATATCTAATATTTGTACTATTTCTTTACTGTCACCATAGCATACTTCTGGAGTGTCATATTGAACAGACAGGCTCAAAGGCAATTCAGATTATTTCCCCTAGTATTCTTAAAATTGGGAAATGCAAACAATTTTGTGTATTTACAAAAACAAACATATATACAAACAAAAAATAACTAAGTTCATAATGCTTACAGACAGGACATTATTATTATTATTAATGTTCCTATTATTAATACAATCTATTTCCCAGAAGATAGTTAAAATATCTTTAAAATTGTAACTACAATCTAAAATTGTTCCCCACAAGCTCTACAACTTCATTATAGCGCTATAGCAATGGAAAATAATGTCAGGATAGATGAACTACTATGTGGATATACTCTAATTACTTAAAATAAAAGCATGATAGAAAATACATTATTTAATGGGTTACACATTTTGTATGAAGAATAAAATATTAAGCATTCCACAAATGCTCACTATCAATACAGTTGTGCTCTTATATACCTCATACTTTTTTTCCTTTAGAGCAAACCTAAGGAGGACTGGTTAAGGATGTACCCCAAATACCTTGCTATAAAGAGTTTGTATGTGCCACTTTGTTATTAATACCAAATTCAACACTTCAGTGTGATGTGGTGTACTTAAAAATTTTAAGTATTGTTTACAAATATACACGTATGTCGAGCATTTCGATCATTAAAAGACAATATAAACTCAAAGATTTATCTTCTATGATATAAAAATATGTAGTCAGAATTAATTCCAAGAATAGAGTTTACATCAAAAGCAGGCTCACGCTGCACTTGGCACAACAAATTCAACCACTTTGCAATATCTAAATCTATTGCAAAACAAACTTATCTTCCTTTCTACCTCTGGTTCTTTTCTATAATTCTGAGATGCATTTTCTACCTCATATTCTCAGCTATAAGCCACTAATCCTATATATCCTTTAAGATCAAGACCAAGCAAATCTTACTTTCCCCTAAAGCCTTTCCCCTAAAGCCTTTTCAAACACAACCCAGTACCAAAAGTTATTGTCAGTGCTCTGAACTCCTACAGCCCTTATTAGATATGCAATCTCTTTCTGGCATGGGCAGTTAACTCTGCTCAAGCATGAGCATCCGATTCCTCCCAACTGGAAAGTAAGCACCTGGAGGGCAAGGAGCAAGGGAGTCCTAGCTCTCCATGCCTAGGGAGTATGCTGCCTGTGACAGGCCATTCGTTATCAGTGCTATGCTGAACAATAAAATGCCATCAAGAGTTGAGTAACTATAAAATAGAATACATTTGTTATTTTCCACATCATGACTTTGTTGCAAATGTACATCCTATAGTATCAATAATATATCACTAACATAATAAACAGTTGCTGATTCTCTGGCAGTGTCAGAGAACAAAATATTTATAAATGTGACTTTTTAGTGATGGCAATAATACAGTTCATCAAATATATTTTAAAATTTCAATGATTCAGGAAAGTTAATGTAGCAACACTCAGTGGGGCTCTCAGGATAAGTAATAACAGGGAACTGATAAAACTGCACATGCTCCAATGTTGAAAATTTATTTCGCACCAATATGAACATAACCCAATCAAAATAACCCATCCTTGACTCTGCTTTGTCTTCTAAATGAACAGAACTGGTAAGGAAAACTACTTGCGCTCTGGAGAGGAAACAAACAGCATCTTTTGATCAAAATAAGGAGCCCCTTAATTAATACCAAAGGAAACCAAATCACTGACAATAGGCTGACTAGTTTACTTCTTTTTCTTTTCTGTGAAATTATTGAAGGGGTGGTTGCAACACAGAATTTCAATGTTTTAAAAACACTGCGCTTGACAGTCCATAGAGACATCCCAATTTAAAATGACACTGCCCTACTATCTCAGTCACAACCCAGTCATGGGTTCTATAAAAGCACAAGGTTGCTAACTTTTAAGAACAAACAAGTTTGCTAACACATAGTTGGTAGACGCTAAGTCATCTCTAAGATTCAAGTTATGCCCTTGGAATCTGTGCCTGTTCAAATAGAAAGTGAAACCAAAACAAACCGTTGTAGCCTAGATTAATAACATTTTACATTTTTTAGTAGCTAGTTTTTAATCAGTAGTAATCAATATAAACTCAGCTATGTGTCTCTTTCTCTTTCCTTCCCAAAGCTTTTAATAAAACCAGCTTTCTAGTAAAATATGTGTACATCATTTTTAATAGCCTTTCTTAAGGTTAAGTGTGGGGTTGGAGGGTATGTGTTACCTTTCAGTGAGAAAGTAGTGAACTATAAAGATAACAGAAATGAAAGCTGTTGAAACCAAGTAGGTACGTTCTGTCCTGTGGGCCTATTGATGGCCTGAAGAGTTAAGAAGAGTGGAGAATAAGTACACAAAAACATTAAAGCGCAAGAGAGCTTCTAAGAGAATCCTAAGAAGCCTTCTTTCCACCTGTAAAAGACAAGTGATTTTCTGACTTCCTTGCATATTCCAGGTCTTGACGACAGAAAGAGAGCAGGGGGAAAGCAGAATTGCTTCGAGAAATTCTTATTCTGAGAAATAAAAAGGGGGAGGTGGGAGAGAGGAGGAGAGAGAAAGGAGGAGAGAAGGAGAGAGAAACAAGCTCAAAATACAATGAAGGAAACCCCGAGAAATTTCACAACTCTTGGCCATAAATAGCCTTTCTTCTCACTCCGGATACCTCCTCCTTTACATCAGCAAAGCTCAGCCTCCACGCAGAGAGGCACCATTCACAAAACCCTCCGTCACCCTTGTGCGCGCCCCTACCCCTAGATGGCACCGCGCGTAAGTCCCTGGGAAACGAGCCCAGAGATGAGAGGGCCCAAGGGGCCACCTGCGGTTTGGGTTCAGGACTAATTTTCTTTTCAGGTGAATCAACGCATAGTCAGGAGCTCTAGCCACAAGAACAGGCACACACCCTGCCTGGAACCACTGACACGCCACCACAAAGCAATGTGTTCACACTAAGTCGCTGCTGTTCCTGCTGTCGCTGGGGAGGGTCTTGCCTCCGATCCAGGAAGCTAGCGCCAGAGGACAAGCAGGCGAGGCAAGAGGCGGTCCCGGCGCAGGCACTGCGGCTCCACTGGGAGCCCGGGGCTCCCAGCCCCCTCCCTCCTCTCCCTCCTCCTCGGCGCCACCCCCGCCCGGGCGCCCGCAGCAGCCCCGGGCGCCAGCACCGGCCGGCAGCCCCTACCTGCGGGACACGGGCGGCGATGGAGGGGAGCGGCACGGAGCCTGAGCCAACTCTTGCCTCCTTGGCCGGCCACGTTCCGCATCGCCCCGGAGCGGCGGCCGCGGCCCCGGGAAGCAGAGCGCTCAGGAGCCCGGAGGAAAAGGCCACGCAGCGCGCCAGGAGTCGCGGGCCGGCAGCGAGCGAGCGCGTCCGCCTCCCTCCCACCCCACCCGCAAGGCCAGGTCTCCGCGCCACGCGCGCTGGGCCCACAGCCGTCTCCCCAGGCCTGGGCGGGGGCTGCTCGGGGGCGTCCTGGGCACGGCGCGGTCACCTGCCCGGCGGTCAACCCGGTGTCCGCCAGGGGCCGGCCCCGGTGCAGCGGCGACACGACTCGCGCGACCCTCCGGGTGCGGGGGCCACCGCGGGCGTTACTACCTTGAAGGCTCCTCGCTGCTTGTTAAGGCTCCTCCTGGGCACTCAGTGATTTATGTCTTCGGGGCACGGGGGTGTCTTCCCTGGACCCCCTCCTATGCCCTCCCTTCCCTTTTCGGCTGTTGGGCTCCTTCTCTCCACTCCCAGTTGCAGAGTCGAGCTGCGTTATTTAATAATCCTGCTGCTCTTCCTTGCTTGCGCCAGCAGAGCTACTCTGCCTGAGCCACCGCTTCCCAGTCAGTCATGTTAGAG